GTTCATCCCCACTAAATACATGAATGTAGTATTAAACTTCCTCTCTCCATTAACCCTTCTTTCATCTCTGACACGAAAGCAATTTCCATATCCCTACTTAGTTTTTCAAATACTTCTACTCTTTTCAGATTAAGAACCCGAACATTCCATTTCTATATTCATAAACCGCTCCCGTTTGCATTGTCATTTCTAGGACATCACTTACTTGGTGTCATTTACTGGGACACTTAGCAATCTAGCATCTGTTAACAGGGATAAGGATACTGGCCCTTTGCCCTGACCTGGAGGACCGGAGATTTCTTCTTCTGGGTTACCTTCCCCTAGACAGGCTGGCTTCCCTCACACCTACAGAGTCCTGCCCACCCTTACCCCAAGAGAAGGCAGGGATGTACCAAAGAGCTATTTCCCTCTCAAAAACAAAATTCATGAATAGTACATTCTATTAGCATTCCTTTATTTCGATTATTGAAGAAGGATCCATCCCCATCAACCTTGGAAAATCAGAGATCCACTGTATTACTCTTAGATAGGAAGCATAATATGCATTTGAATTATATATATTTTATGAACTAACTTTTCATTGCAGTTTATTTTACCTTAAAACCACTGATGTTATTTATCAAGCCAAAATATTTTACCTTGAATGATAGAAAAATTGTATGAAAAAATATTATGCAGTTTGCAATGGAAGAAAAAAATTTAGTAGGTATTTGGAGACAGCAATTTCAGTTTCCCAACAACAAAGTTAATGAAGAATGAGCATGAAGAGGCAGTCCTACAAACGCTAGCTACAACTGCACATACTTTCTAGCATTATTTCTAAATTCGCAATTTTTGAAAATTTAGAGAGTTCAACAAAAATTAGATTCACACCATTCTTTGAAGTGCCTCTTCTTCAATGGAAAAAATTTGGAGAAGTTTTTTATAAGTTCTTTTTTTTTTGAATTGTATTAATTTCAAAATGAATGAAATGAAATTTATTTATTTTTTCAAATAAATGTACATGACCCTTCTTAAAGACCTGATGTTTTGGAAGAAACTTTGTCCAAGTCCAAAATCACCATCTTCAATTTCACAGTTGTAGGCCAGGAAAAATCCACAATTTTTTTAAATAAAAAAAAATTCTGATTTTTTTATTTAAGTCAGATTTATTTGATTTAACTTCATTTTTTAAAATTGTATTAGATGTTTTTACATTACGTAATCGTTACAAATTATTTATCCTTAATTACTTTAAAAGCAGAAAAATGTTAATTAAATTATTATTAATTGTTGTAATTTTTATTTAAAAAAATTAAAATACAATACATTTGATGGGTCCAGTGCAATATCCCCCTAACTGACAAAATCTTTATATTTGATTTACTTATAGTTCCATACCCTTTGAAACACTTCTCTTTGCATCCAATTACCAAATAAGCTTGTGGCACAATCTATTGGCTTGATTTACAAGAAAGGCATTCTTCATTCAAAGAAAGTTTAGCATTTTTTTTGTGCAATACCACCCTAATCAAAAAGCACTTTTGTTGAAAACAAGTTAATTCATCAAAAAACTTATAATAGACAGCTTTTTAAATATTTAATTCTACTTATAGTCCTGTAAAAAAAAGTATGGGGCATAACGACTGTTACTTGCGCACCTTTCCTTAACCCTTTAACAGTCAGTGCTTCCTACTTCAAATTGAAGTTTATCAATATACACAAAGAAAAGTTAATATTATTAAAGCTAATAAGATTAACTATCGTTTTCATTAGTTTTACCAATATTAATTTTGTTTTTTTAACAAGCATTAAGAAAATTCCATATTTATTAATACTCATCATCTTAAGATGTACTATTAGTAGCTTTAGAAAACATTTTAATAAACGTAGAATTATAGACCCATTGAAGCTTTAAACATGTTTTTCTAGAAACTAGCTTGTGTGTGTTTGGGTAGTATTGCTGCTACACTAGTCTTTACCTACAGTTGTTTTTTTTAAATGTAATCAGTCTTAATTTTTAAGCTTGCAACCATTTCTTCAACACTCTTAAAGACTATAATCAGTATTCCAAAATTATTTTGGACTTTTTATAAATTTTCATGACCTCATTTAATATTAATAAAAATTGCTAAAAAATGAAGATATTCCAAGAAAAATGTTCCATTTCATTTTGTTTTTGTCCCCTGAGTGCCTTAATAGTCAGCATTCCATCCTTTCAAAAATTTCAATCATGATTAACATATCTTGATTCTGTGGGGACAAAGATGATTACAATAACTCCTCCTCCAAGGAATACATATACACTATCTGAATAGAAATTGACAAGTCCTCCCAACAAGAAGAAATTTATGCTTGTTTATTGGCATAAAAAATATTTCCTGCTATTTTAGACTGTAGGAACCAGGTGTGACATTTACTTTTCATTTATACAAAAGTGGTGTACAAAATCCCAATTTATTCAACAACTGGTACACATTTTGGTATGTAATAATACAAGCTACAATGACTTAAAAGAAACGACAACAATACTGTATTAATACCATCAAACATGCCAATGGAAATAAAAATGGCATGAACAACAAAGTTAAGATTACAAAATAAATATCACACAACACAATGTAGAACACAAACTCCTCTTCAATCAATACAGCATCAAAAAGAGAGTAAGGTAACAAAGATCAGAAGGGACTTTCTACTACTAAAAATAGAATTAACTGTTTGACAAATTTCAACTATTACACATGCAGTTCTCAACATAAACATTGAATCTTTGTTGTAAAGCAATACTAGGAATTAAGTCGTATGACAAGTATACAGATTAACCATAAAAAAGAAATAACACGTCACATGTAATAACATGTAAATGTAACATCTTGAGGATGGTTGCTAAAATACACAAAAACAGTATTTAAGCTCTAAAATTTATTGTTCAGCAACAATTTGAAGGTTATTCATTTACTCAACATTTATTGGGCAACTAGAATAAGTAATATGTTAATTCATAAAAACTTAGTCTGCCATAAATCGACAAAATATTTCATTATTTCAAACATTTCCCCACTCAAAGTTACACACGTTCTACCAATTACAGTAATTTTAATGGCAACACTCATACTGCAGATCTATTTCCATATTTCCTGCAATACATTTAATATCAGTACGAATTTTCAAAAGCCTCTCTAGATGAAACAACAGAATCATGCTGGAAGCTCTACATTCTATTAACAACTGGGCTAACAAATCCAATTTTATTTTATGAAGAGAAAAATCAGAATTTATAATTTTCTCCAAGAAAAAAGATTTTACAAGCAGAAGCTGCTCTTAAAATTGGCAAACATTACCTAAGGAAAAACAAACGTATGCAAAATAATTGCCACGATGTTCATCTAAAAACGTACTTGAAAGAATCTCATTACTTCTGTCAAATCGGAGTGTACTTCGAGAATAAATATTATTAAAATCTTCAGTCATCACCAAAATTGAGAGCCAAAGCTTCTACTTTAAGTAACTTTTACCAACAATCAACCCATTCGATGGATCTGTTGTGTATAGCTCAAAGTAAAAGCCTTCTGGAGAAACTCAATCCTGTTATTAACACAAGACATTTATACCTGGGGACCTTCAGAACCAGACAACTAGCATAATCTGGACTTCTTTCAGTAGATTTATGAAGGAAGTTTCTATGCTTAAAATTTACATACCTCCAAACCCCACTAATTAATATATCTTCAACCCCTACAAAACATGTTTGCCATTCAAATTTTCCAAAACTCCTACATGAAAGACTTATCCAATTTATATAACCAAAACCCTTATTTTCTCAACACACCAAAAAATTTTAAAACTTCCAAAAATTCTACACATTATTCAAAACAAGAAGATCTGAATGTGCCATTATATCCTAAAGCCCATCGAACTGTCACTTCCATCTCCCAGACTACTTTTCAAATTACACAAGTTAAGCTAAGGCTACACAAACCATGGGATTTATGTACCCGTAACTCCACTAACCCTGAAATCATCAATGATTTGTCATCAGCTCTAATGTGGATCCAAAACTGATCTGATTCAATAGATATAAGAACATTTCTGCCTTCTAATACAAATTTTAATATCACACTTGCAAGGCACCCATCCCAGAAAGGAATCTCAGAAATCGAAAAAGGCAGACTCAGCTGCTAAAGCAGTAATTGCACTCCAACAAAAAGGCACAGGTGGAACTCTAGAGGACTCCTCAAAGAAAGATTTTCTAACATATATAAAGAACTTTTGGGACTGCAAATGGAAAAGTTCTCCACCAAACATAAAAGTTAATAGACAAGTCATGCTAATAAGACTACGTATCTGCCACTTCAATCTCAGCTTCAGCATACCATTTAAAAACAAAATCAGACCCTGAACCATGTTCAATTTGTGATTCGACTATCCCCTGAAGATGTTTAAGAATCAGTTCACAAAACATTATTATAACATTATAACCTTCAACTAACTCAATGAATAAAGATTGATATTTCAAGCAAGTAATTTTTTTTTTTTTTTTTTGTTTGTGTAAAAAATGAAAGGATACCTTAACAATTGAATTGTTTAATAGTTAAACATTGCCAACAGTCCACACAAGCAAAATTGTATCAATATCTTTATTTTTCACGTTCGCTAATATAGGTTAACTATAATTACACAAAACACCACATTTGGAAAATGTATGACCTTTACATCTGAATACAGTGTTAAAACAATCCATTTTGTACTTTTCATCCCACCAGTAGAAGATGAAAATGTACTAACTAAGCGAAATAAATTATAATTTTATAAAGAATACTGAATGATCATCTAGACTGAATTATTCTTAATTATACTGCGATATATCATTATGGTTGCCAAGGGCTGAAATCACATCTAAGAAAGCTTGGCCAACCTTTCACAGATACCAACAAGAATGTTCATTCTAATAATATAGATAAATTGTTTTGAAATAATTGAAGATTGATAAAAATAAACAGAAAAATACGTACAAATACTAAATCTTTAATCAGTCTCTTCAACTTTCGAGTCTTCTTCTTATATTTTTTCTCGTTGACAAAATCCATTCTTTCTTAACTGCAACCGGTTTCATATATGCCAATCGCAATAACCCACTCCGTTGTCACAGACCACCTCGTAAACAACTCAACGGCGTTTATAATATAAAATAATAAATCCCTCAACAAATTACCGAGCAGGGAAATCACACGGCTATTATCCTAAGATTTTCAACATGTTCAGAATCCGAACCCAGCCCATACTGGCGGTACGTACTATTGATCCAGGGCCGGTTTTCTCAATGTTAAAAGGCGGGGGAGTAAGTTTGTTTCCTCAGTCCCGGACCTGGTGCAGACAGCGCAGCTGTTGCATTTTGGCGCGCATTTTCAAAGGAAGGTTGTGCGAATTCATTGTGGTGCGTGTAGAGAATACTCAACACTGTTTTTCTTATGATTCAGATTAACTTCATTTAAATAATATTTTTAAATATTGTATTAGATGTGTTTACTTAAAACCAAAATTGTAAAGTGATTCATTTATCCTTAATTACTTTAAAAGCAGAAAAAAGTGAAAACATGAAGTTTTAAAATGATAATTTCCTTATTGTTTGTATTAGTTGTTTTTTCACATAGATAATATACATTTGAAGGGTCTGGTGCAATACAGCCCTAACCCACAAAATCTTTAAATGTGAGTACTTATAGTTTCATCACTTCTCATGTGTTCACGTTATCAAATAAGCTTGTAGCAACAGCTGTTAGCATGAGTCAGAAAAAAGGCATTATTTATCAAAAAAATTTTACCATCTTTTCTGTAATATTACCTGAATCAAAAAACCTCTTACTGTTAAAAACAACTTATTTCATTAAAAAATTTACAACAATATTAGGCAGTTTTTGAAATATTAAATTCTATTCAATAATTGTCCCGTTCCTTCCCACTTAAATGGTATTTTATCAATATACACAAGGAAAAAGGTTAATATTATTAAAATTAATATAATTAAATACCATTTTTATTAGTTTTAACATTTTTTCTTAAGTATCAATAAAAATCCATTTTTATTAATGCTCATCTTCTCTAAGATGTTATACTTTATGTGGCATTAGCAAACATTTTACTCCAAATCTAGAATTATAAATATACTTGAAGATATAACGCATTTTTCCTGAAACTAACTCGGTGTGTGTATTGTTCCTAAATTTGCCATCATCTACAGACAATGAAATGCTGGATAAAAACTATTATATCATCCAAGTCCATTAGTAAATAACTGCTACAGATTGTTTATTGTTCATTTCATAAGCATGCTCATTTTAAAGTATATTGCATTGTATTTTTTCTCGAAATTCTTCAATTATGTGAAAAAGTTTATAAGAAATATATTGTAACGGTACAAGCTCCTGCGTTGGAAAATATGTCCATGAAAAAAAAAGAAAAAATAGCAGACGCCCGCGACGCAGCTGCGGGGAAGGGGGTCGTAGGCATTTGCGCCCGTTCGTCTATTGAGGCGAGGGTTCTATAAACGTTTATGGCAGGACACCCCCGCGCCAAATGTCAAGTGGTGCCGCCTATTCAAGCGACCGCTCGTAAAATGAACCCCAACGCTGAGTGCGCCTTCTCGGGGGGAACAATTCACAACCAAACGATCAGCGGCGCACGTGCGAAGAAAACAGGCCGATAGTTTTTTACAACAGCAACGGACATTCTGGCCGTTTAAGAAAGACTTCCTATTTGATCTAATCTGATTTGATTTGATCTTTTTCTATGTGATTGGTCAGACACACGCCTCCACCCTGCTCCGGGAAATTCAACCCTGCGTATCGGGAGGATACACGTTCTTTGGAGGGAGGGGGTACCGAGGCTTGATGTTACTAGGCCGCCGCTCGGTAAGCACTGTGTGGCTGGAGAGGGCCGCGAGTGGTCGATTCGAAGGGGTGGCTTGAGACGGCCGCGAGTGGTCGATCCCCTGAGTGACTGGAGACGGCCGCGAGTGGTCGATGAGACTTGACTTTATAACTCGGCCACGAGAAGTAACTCGATGTCTTGACTCGGCCATGAGAAATCAACTGATTTCGATCTCGATTTGATAGTTCGGTCACGAGTATTCACTTCGCTTGCTCAGTTAATCAAGTAGCATTCGAAGCATATTGCGGAGGGAAGTTGTTTGGCTTCCATTCACCGCCGATGATCACCGTGGCTGCCTGAGGTTGGTGACGCTGATTGGAGTAGTGGGCCCCGCGGGAAGCGCGGCGACATCCAACGGCCACGCTGGGAGCCCCTGTGTTCACCGCCCCTGCCTGGAAGGGGGCAGCCCGAACAGGGACGACGGGCGACTACACCACCGGGCGTGCAATGAGGCCCGCCAACAGAAACGAGGGTAAATAATCCGCTTGGCTCCCGCATAAATGCGGTCGAACACTTACTGAGCGAAGCGAGGGGATGGAAAGGGTGCCTTCAGAACAAAGTAACCATGACGACCCGTTGCTTTTTTATTGTATTAATTTAAATAGATGACCATGTCATAATAAAAGAAAGGGTCGTTTTATAATTTTATTAAAAATCGTAAAATAATTGTAATGCATAATCATCAATTTTTTAAAGTAAATGTTTGTTAACGCAAATGTTTTTGACCATTATTGTTGAAATTCCCATTCCCGTTCCAGACAGATACGCGTGGGGTTACAATATTCTTTGTATAAACTGTGTAATTGATTTGAGTCTTCATCTCTTTAACTTAATATTTATTATTTGTAATATTTGAAAAAATAACTTAAATCAATGATTTTAAAAAACATTATCATTTGATATAAATCATGATTAAAATCATACCAGCCTTAATTTTTGGTGACATTTTATAGCCAAAAATAGAATTGTAATTTTGATACAATATCAAACATTGGTTCAGTGACTATTTTGGGTAAATCTTTGAAAACCAAGGAAAATGAAACATATTTATATATTATTGTAGTTTTATGATTGGCAAGTTGATTCGTCTTGTAATAACATACCAGTAAATATGTTTAGTGTTCTGGGATTAAAGAGGGAATTTGCATTGTTTACAAAAAAATCTTTTATGAAATGAACATTTGTGGAAGATATAACAATTTTAATTTGGCCAGTTTCTCCCAAGTTTTAGGCAATCTTTAAAATAAACAATCGGCACAGATTTCTTCTGTTTAGGCTGCAATGCAAGATTTTTTTATTTTCTATAGCTATCTGATTGGTTACTGCACGTCATGACAATATTTCCACAAAGTCCACACACAAACTATCCTCATTGAAACCTACACATGCGCAGAACAATACTGAATTGTTACGGATGACAGAATTTTGACGGTATATGTAGAAAAATTGGATTAGATTTTTACTATAATATTCAATAATACCAATACAGGATTTATTGTTCAGATGTTTCATTTACCAATTCAAATTCGGCTACATTTAATTAAAAATCATCTAATATATATTAACCGTTTTTAGCACTGAAGCATGTGAAACATCCAAAAAAGTATTATACCTATGTTAATATTTTTAAAATAAACGTTAGATATTTAGAGTATATTATTTATTACACACTGTTCTTTTATTACACATTCCAAAACAAAAGTTTTTTAATTCTTCACATTCAAAATTGTTTTGATTATTTATTAATATATTTCCAGTGTTTGTTAGGCAAGTTTTTCTAAACAAGGCAATTATTATGTGAAATATATATTGCTGAAATAATATATTTGTCTACAATATCGAGACTAGCAGCACTTGCAGCATCAAGATAAAAAAGATTTCACTGGCACACATTGTAATAAGATTTTCTTGAAATGTTCTTTGAGAAGACAAGAGGGCTGGGCTTGTAAGAAACACTGTTGATACAATTCCATCTTTAGTTAGTGAAGTCAAATTCGTTTATATCTTGCCAGTTATCATACTGCAACTCCAAGATCACCTCCAGAATGGAAATGTAACTCGTACACCTAAGCAAATAAAATTAATTACATTTTCATCATATACTAATTAGGGTGTACCTATTCTAGAAATGCAAACAATAATGAGTTATGTATATTTGAAAATTAGACATTTTGAATACCAGAGTATTGCAAACAATAGATATATGGATATACAATAGACATATTACAAAACTTGTCCAATACCATACGAAATAATATAATTACAATACTTTTAAACAAATAGAGCAGAATAAATGACATGTACAGGTTAGGTTATACTACATGGATTTACGTATTTTTAAGACTATTTTGCATGGTGTAAATGTTCACAAATGAAATAATCAATTACAATTATGCAACAAGATTCCAAAATGAATTATAAATACCTCCACTGCAGGTAGGGCGAAAATCCTAGCAATGTACTTGTCTAGTAACAGTTTTCTTAATATCATCTTCCAAAACACAGAAAACAGTTTTAGACATGAAAAATAAATATCGCGACACAATTCACTCTACTTACAATGCACAACATTCTACATAATAACAAAATGCTGAAAAATATCGATAAAAAAGAGCACCTACCTGCTTGCAGCCTGTAAGTTGCTGCAAGTAACGAAAACCAAACACCGCCTACATTGCCAGCTTTTTTGAATTGTATGACGTCACACGTTTAGTTCGGCTCACGTTGGACCTGTTGTAGATGGCGCAAAAATCATTACCTCGTTTTGACCGGCAAGTTTCCCAACCTTGCTAGTGATCGTACCGTACTGGCCAGGGCTACCGAACTACGTGTTAATTCTCGCGACTAGCGTTAGTGCTGCGTTCGAACGGGCGGAATCCCAACTAAACTAAGTGGTGGTAGGGAACAGATACCATGGTGGGAGTAATATTTCCACTAATTAGATGCACTGTATTTTTTGTACTTTCCTTTTAGCGTAATTTATAATTAGTTCTAGGATTCAGTAGGAAATGTAGGATATACTGGCATAGAAATGACTCAGGATAACAAACAACTCAATAATGAAATGAAATGGCAGATATATCAAAATTAAATCGGAAAAGCAATGGTAAATTTTCTAGAAGAGATAAACAAATTCTCCAGGTAATACAATTTAATAAAC